GGAGGAGGAGGAGGCCGAGCAGGAGGAGGAGGAGGAGGAGGAGGAGGGGGAGGAAGGGGGGCCCCGCGAGCCGCCCCCGCCGCCCCCGCACCACGAGTGGACCTACGAGGAGCAGTTCAAGCAGGTAGGAGGCACTCGTGGCTCCGCTGCCCTCCCGCTCCCCACCCCGAGTCTCTTCCCAAGGGAGCAGCCCCCAGCGTGTCCCGCCTGGAGCCCCCTGACACCCCAAGTGAGCACCCCTGCTGCACCCCAGCACACCCCACATGGCCCTCCCGGGGCTCCCCCATTCCCCTCCCAGTCCCATCCCAGTCCTGCTCGGGCAGGTGTCACCACCGCCCCCACATGTCGTCTCCGAGTGCACCCAACCAACACTGTCCCCCAGCCCCATGGGCATCTCCAGTGCCCCCCCAACCTGTTTTCCTCACAACCTAAGTGAGCAGCCTGTAAAGCCCCAAACCCCATCCCAAGGGAGCCTCACGTCGTGCACCCACCTCCCCATCCCCAAACCTACAGCAAACGGGTGCCTCCAAACAGCCCCAGCTGCCCTCCAGCTTCATCCCTGTCCCCCGCTCCAGCAGGCACCTCCTGATGACCCTGTCCCCAGACCCCCTCGCTCCCTTCAGGCCTCCAATGTGCTTCCCCGTGTCCCCATGGGATCCTCCCGTGGCAGGTCTGGGCTGTCCTGTGCAGCAGGCTGGCTCCTGGTCTCCCCGGCATGGATTGGGGGGGCGGGATGATGCCTCAGGTCCCCCCCATGGAGCCAGAGGGGCTCCCCAACACTGGCCCAGGGGGTGCCATCCTATTGGGTCCGGCGCCGTGGCCACGTCCCACGGGTCCCTTTGCCAACGGGTCCCGCAAGCCCCGGGGCCGCCGAGCGCGGGGCACTTGCTGCAGCCGCGTCCCCCCCTGCCCTCCCCGCTCGGCCATTGCACAACGTGGCCAGGAACTGGCCCGGCCGGAACGCGCCGCGCTCGGCGCCTGCCCGTGCTGCGCCGCGCCAGGTATGCGAGGAGCCGGCGGCGCCCGGGGATGGGGACGGGGACGGCTCCCGCGCCCCGGCAGCGCCGGGCTGGGCGCGCTGCATAGGCCGAATAGCTGGGCCGGGCCAGTGTTGGGTTACAGGGTGCCGAGGCGGCCGGGCCGGTTCCCGGGGTCAGCGGCGAGGTGGGAAGCAGCTCATCCCGCCCGGCGCCGGCCAGGAAGCATTTGCAGCATTCCTGCTCTCGCCGTCACAGCCGTGGCACCCACGGGGACGGGGGAGATGCTGGCTGGGCCAGTTTGGGAGAAGGGGAGGTGGGTGCCAGGAGCATCCCAGGTCCCGTTGCAGCTCCAGCTTCCCGCCCCTGCCTCGGTTTCCCCTGCGGGCTGAGTGCGGCACCCGCCCTGCACTCAGCTCTGTGCTCCCCTCCTGGGGAGGCAGAGCAGCCACCTCCCCCTGCTGCCTTTCCCACCGCGGGCGCTTCCGAGGCCGTCTGCGCGTCCCCCCCGCACGGGGCTGGGTCTCGCCCAGCCCGGAGAACCGGTTCCCAGCGCAGGACGGGCCGAGACGGAAGCTGGGACAGGGAGAGGTGTTTGCCCCGTGTCGGGAGCGCCCAGGGCCGCTGCCGGGCGGTCGCTGCAGGTCCAGGAAAGCCCCCGGCTCCTGGTCTCAGTCTCATTCATTGGATAAGGGCACGCGAGCCCCACGGATTCACAGGGCTGCCCCACAGCGGGGGCGGTCTGGGAAAGCGGGGCCCCCCCGACTGCAAAGCTCAGCCCAGGTCAGGCCCCCCAGAACAAGCAGGTGGCAGCCGGGGGGACCCTTTCCAGGGAGAAGGGCACAGAAGACGCAGGAAAAGGGCAGAAAGGGATTTGCTGGCTGCCAGCACGGGAGCATGGCCCCCTCCAAGCGCCCAGGTGGATGTATGGATTGTGTAAGTGCTCACATGTGTATGGACATGCTCATGTGTGTAGGGACCTGTGTGAAGGCCACTGTATGTGTGTGGCCCCGGCTGAGCCCCTGTATGTGTGTAGGGGCCTGTGAGTGTCCATGTGTGTGTATAGAGCCATACAGATCCCCCTGCATGTGTAGGTGTGACCTATAGACCCATAGGAATGCCCAGGCACATATGGCATCTATGAACGGACACATGTGTCCAAAGAAGCCTCCCACACATGTGGGGACACATGTGGTGTCCCCGTGTGTGTAGATGCTCCTCTATAGGTAGGTCTCGGTGTCTATATGACACAGGGACCCAGCAGGCGTTTTGAGAGGGGTTGAGCCTTGATGCCCTCTCCTGTGACATTTCTGAAGGGTGTTTGGGAAGCAAACGCCCCCCGGGACACCCCAAGCTCGCAGGTGTGTGCGGGGGACGAGGGTGCGCAGGGATGCACAGGGTGTGAGCGTGCACGGGGTGCAGAGGAGGGCACGGATGGGGCCCACGCACCGAGCGAGCGGCTGCGACCCCACTGCAGCCCTGCGGTGCTGCCGGAGTGAGGCGGGGGCCGCACAAGGGGTCGGTGCAGGGCCAAGCGCTGCCCGGCTCCCGGGACGCCCCGCGGGACGCCCCGCTCCCGCGCTCGCCCTCTCCGTGCCCGGCGCCGCGCTCGCCGTGGGGCCGGGCTCCCTGGCTCCGCGCCGCTCCGTCCCGGGAGTGCCGGTGCGTGCCGAGGCACCAGGGCCTGCGCCAAGCCCGGGCACGCGCTCTGCTTGGACACTCCGCTTCTCCCGGCGTGCCCAGGCGCTGGGGAGCGGGAGCCGGCGGCATCTTCCCAAGCCGCTTGCTCAGGCTGTGCTGCTCCGGAGCCGTCCTGGGGAGGGAAGGGGCTGCAGGCACCTTATGCTGCAGCCTTGGGGGCTCACCAAGCACCCCGGCACATGTCCCACTCCTGGGGCATGCAGCAAGTCCCCCAACCCCCATGCATGGGTGCAGCTGCATGCATGCAGCATGCGCACGCGCACATGCAGGTTGGTGCTTGCACACGCAGCCGGTGCACGCGTGTGTGCACGTACCGCCTGCATGCACCCTGCCTGCACGCTCACTGTGCACCCTTCAAGCACCTACTGCAGCCAGGTAGATGCTGCACACCCTGAGGGGTGCACAAGCACCCCAGCACCCACTATACATGCACGCCCATATTGCAACCCCGAGATCCTGGGCATCAACTTCCCCCGCAGCACGACGGGGGGCAGCGGGGCCGGGGGCTGCCGTCCCCAAGGCCAGCGCCGGCAGCAAACAGTCCCTCACCTTGCCCCCGGCCGGGTTAATGTTTGCAGCGGGCGGCTCTCGCGGGGCTGCCGGCGCCCGCCGCCGCGCGCGGCGCCCATTAAACCCGCCGCTCTGCGAGGCGCCGTTAAACATTAAGCGCGGCCGCGGCGCCGCATGCCCGGCACCGACCCTGGGCCCGCGGTGACAGCGGGTCCCCCCCGCGCCGTTAACTTTATGGCTTTGGCGGTGGCGCCGCGGGAGACCATCCCCGTGGCGTCAGGCCTGAGCGGAGCGCGGGAGGACGGAGGCACCCGCTGCAGGGCCGGGGGGTGCCCGGGAAGGAGCTCGGCGCTGCCCGCGGCGGAGCATCGACCGCGCGCGCCGCGTGAACCGCGGCCGGCTGCAGGAATTAGCAGCGGGGCTAATCAATGCGGTGCATATTAAGCGGCTTAGCGGGGAGGGGGGCCCTGCGAGGCGGGGGGTGGGGAGCCGCGCAGGGCTGCCCATCGATCCGCACGGCCCGGATGGAGGGGAGGAAGCGCTGCTGCTCGCCAAGCAGAGCCCTGGTCACTACCACACATGTGGGGTGGCCTGGGGTCCCCACGGTGCCACCGCGTCCCTGCTCGGTGCAGGGGCACGAGAGAGGCCCCAGGGAGTTTGTCCCCTGTCCCAAGCAGTGACTCCTCGGGGGGGTGGCACCTGCGCACCCCCAAACCCCTCAAGCATCGTCCCCCTCATAGGGAGAGGTGCTAAGGGTGCTGCCTAGTCCCCGGCAAGGGGGGCCCCAGGGTGATTCTCATCCCCTTCCCAAACCGCCTTCGACCCACTGACCTATAACCTGCCCGAGCAGCCCCGTTATCCGCCCTCTTTATGGAGTAAGGACGTCGCCACGGCAACGGGATGCAGGGCGGGAGCAGGGGGACTCAGGAAGCGCCTGGCTGCGGCCCCCGGGATGGTGGGTCCCCCCAGGGCCGTGTCCCCGGGGTCACGGCTCTGGGGGTGCCGCAGCTTTCGGGGGTCCCGGCGCGGGGCCGCGCGCCGCCGGGCCATCGATCGCCGGGCTTGACAGTTTAATACTCGTGTTTATAGAGGAATATAGTTACATCGATGGCGTTAAATGAGTTACTAATTATATCAATACAAACACGATTAAAAGGGTCCTTGCTCATAGGTCACGGTGAGCAGGAGCCGCCGCGGCTCTTGCACAACCGCCCCCCGGGCAAGGGCTGCGCCGCGGGGTGTGCGCGCCGCCGGTTGTGCGCGCCGGTGGTGCGGGGCTGCGTGCGCCTGTGCGCGGCTGTGCACGCTCTGCAGCGTTGGGCAAGCCCCCGTGGGGTTGTGCGCACCCACGCGGGGTTGTGTTTGCCCAGCCTTGCGCTCGCGCGGGGTTGCTTGCCTGTGTTTGGCTGTGGGTCACCCTGTGGGGCTGATGGTCCCTTCCCGGGTGGATGTGGTAGGGAGGAGCTGAGGGCCAACTCTGGGAGAGGAGGAGGAAGGTGAGCGGCAGGGTCCTGCACAGGGGCTAAAGCGGGATCCTCCCTCAGGGCTGGGAATGCCCCCCAAAACTCAGTTTTTTTGGAACACAGCATCCTGCAGTTTGCAGGATTTGCAGGATTTGCAGCATCCTGCAATTCCCAAACGCTTTTGCTCCGGCTGCACAGGCGACCTTCGCTCCCTGCTGGATGTCAGGTGTTTCTGCATGGGGGGCCCTGCCGATAGAAGTGAGAGGTCACCACGTGGTGGAGAGGTGGACACCAACACCGGGGCTCACAGCGAGCGTGCAGGCAATGGGGAACGGACCCCTCTGGGAATGCAGCCAGGGACTGCATGGAACGGGTGCAGGGAATGCACCCAGGTGGGAGACAGCGCCTGGATTAGGTGAGAGTTGGGCAGGTAGCACCCATGGATAACGTCGAGGATAAGCAAGTAGCACCCTTGGGTTAAGTGAGGGACAAGCAGGGAGCACCCATGGATAACATCGGGGATAGCAGGTAGCACCCTTGGATAGTGCCAAGGATGGGCAGGTAGCATCCACGGATTAGGATAATCCATGGATGTGTTAACACACAAGAATAACAATAGGGAAAGGCAGGTCTCACCCCTGGGCAACCTTAGGGACAGGCCCTTAATGCCCGTGAGAGAGGCTCGGGATAGGCCAGCAGTGCCCGTGGGCTGGGAAGAGGGAAGTTTGCAGGATCCTGGGTGCAGGGCAAGGCGTGCAGGCTCCTGCACCCGTGCCGAGGGTGCCCTGGGCCATGGCATGGCCGGCACATCCATGGCATGGCCAGGACATCCATGGCATGGCCAGGACATCCACGTCCCATGGCCATGGGAGCGAGCGGGTCCTGCACCGGCCGCTGTCAGCCCCACGGCCCGCTGCCTTTATCTGCGGGTGACGGATGTGCTGTGCGGGGCGGCGGGAGCGGGTGCTGCTATTGGGTTTTAACGGCCTTTCCCAGCACAATTGTTTTTTAAACGACTCTATTTTGCGCCCGACTTTGTTTTCCAGCTTGCATTTCTTTGTATATGTTTTGGAAATCCATTCTGGACTGCTGAGTTTTGTTTCTTTTCAATGGCTTTAAATTCTCGCCTGGCTCTGTGGGAGGAATTGGTGTCTATAGCACCTTCGATTGGTGCTAATTTTTCCTTCATGTGCTCTGACTTTTACTGCTGGGCCATCGATCTGGCGGGCTCCAATTTGTCATGGTCACCGAGGGCCTGTGCTGGAATCAGGCGGCTGTTTCGCGGCACCGGCACATGGGTCCCCCCCAGTTTCGGGTGTCCCCTCGTCCTCCCGGTGGGTCTGGAAGCTGGGATGAGCCCGGCGGTTGTGCCAGGGCTTTGCACGCTCGCTGCAGTGCGTGCACAAACCCACCGGGACACAGGTGTATCCACACTGGTGTGTGCACGAGCAGGAACATCCCAAGGACGCGCTTGCCCCAGGCACCCGCAGCAGAACAGGGGTCCCGGGGGCTGCTCGGTTAAGGGGTGCGCAGAGCTCGTTGGTGTCCAGCGTGCGCCTCTTGCACCCACGTGTGCGCTGGGAGCTGCTGGCGCTGACCCCCCTCTCCCTCCCGCCCCCAGCTCTACGACCTGGACGAGGACCCGAAGCGCAAGGAGTTCCTGGACGACCTCTTCGGCTTCATGCAGAAGAGAGGTAAAGGTGGGTGGCTTGGGGAGGGCACTCGCCGGCCCCCAGCCCCTGCCCGTGGCCACCCAGGGGTGCTCGTGCCGAGTCCCACTCGGGCACTGAGCTGCTCCCAGTCTCTGCAAGCCTCGGGGTCAGTCCCATGGGGTAGATCCAACCGCGATGCCCGCTAGAGATGTCTATTAGCGCTGCCCCTTAGCAGGGCTCGTTAGCGGTGCCGGGGGCGATACCCGCAGGAAGGGGAGCAGCGCCGGCCCTGCGGGCACCCAGGGGTTAAGGGCTGCGCCAGGCGGCCCGGCCGCATCGGAAATCTTTGCTATCGGCGCAGGGGGCCGAGGCAGCTCCCGGGGACTCGATAAATGCTTTAACCTTCGCCCTCCCCGGCTGGGCCGGCGACAATTAAAAGTTGCCGAGCGCGGGCGCGCGGCCGGCCGTATTCATTAGAGCCTTTTGCCGGTGTGTGGATTAATGAACATGCCGCTCGATAACCAGTAAACCCCAGGCAGAGGTTAATGCCGAGCTAATTAACGGGGGGAAGCCAGCGGGGGGAGCAGCAGGGCCAGCCGGCGTGGGGCGAGAGCCGGCAGCGAGGGGCAGTTGCCCCCCAAGTTTTGCCCCTCGGGAGCGACGTGGGGCAGCGTTGGGCACAGGCTCTGTGTGTGGGGTGTGTGGGGGGGGTGATGTCTGAGACCCCACAAGCTCATGGCTGTGGTGGAGGTCGTGCAGCAGCCCCCATGCACAGCACAGCCCTGGGTGCCCCATCCCGCTCGCGGCCCCGGGGGGCTCTCCGAGGAGCAGGAGGTGGGAGCGCAGCCGCCCTCCCGCATCCGCCAGCGCTCGGGGCGCCACATTCATGGGCTGCTCCGCTCCTTCATTATCTCCCTCTGCAGAGCTAATTAAGGGCCTCGTCAGTGGGGACTGGGGCTAATGAAGCGCTACCAGGAGGGCAGCGGGCGGGGGAGCTCCTCACGCCCCCGGGGACCGCGGGGGACAGGCAGCCCCTGGGCTCGGCGCAGGAGCCGGCGGCGCTGCCGGGCGCAGGAATTTCACTGTTTGCTCTCAGGGTTTTACGGCCGGTTCCCAGGGCTCTGTCACCTGCCGGCGGATGTGGGAGCGGGGGGCGCGTGCGAGGGGCCGGCGGTGCCCGTGCCGGCAGCGGGAGCACCGGGAAGGGCACGCGGGCTCCGCGCGACGGGACCAGGGCACCATGCACAGGGGTGCTGCAGGGTGCGCAGCGTCATCGGAGGTGGCACAGGCTCCTGGTGGTGCCACAGGGTCCCTGGGGGTTGCTCAGGATCTGCAGGGGTGACGCAGGGTCCTCAAGGGCTGCAGAGTGTCCTTAGGGGCAGCACGGGGTCGTTGCCGGTGGCACGGGGGCTGCAGGGGTGGCAGAGGGTTGATGCAGGCGGCCCCAGGGCCCCCGCTCGGTGGCACTGGGCTCTGCACGGCTGCGTCCCCCACCGCGCGGGCCCGGCCGATAAGGCGGCGCCGTTGATCAAAGCGGGAGCTAATTGCAGCGCCACAAGGACTGACCGCCGCCTCCGCGGGCTTCTGTGCCGCGCGCCCCGGCCGGGGCCATCGCTCTGCGGCGCCCAGACGGGTCCCTTTGCCAGCGGGACGGGCACCCACCGCCCGCCCCGGCCACCCCCGGATTAGCGGCCAGGCCTTCACATCCACTGCCCCGCTGGGGATGGGGGAGAGGGGAGGAGGAATCTGGAGCCATAAATCTGGGAAAAGGGGCTGGGTCACCCCAGAGGCAGGTGAGGGGTTGGCATGGGGGATGTTTGTGTGGATGTTGGGGGCTGTGCTTGCTGCTGTCCCCGCTCCAGGGGCTGTCCCGTGTTGGGGACAACCTGTGGAAAAGCGGCAGCCTCATCTGGAGGTGGGCAGATGTGGAAAAGTGGTAGCCTCATCTGGCGTGGTGGGAGACCCTCACATCGGGGTCCAGTCTGGCTGCAGGAGGTGACAGGCAGGAGGTGACAGGGAGGAGGTGACGGGGCCGGTGCCCGATCCCCTGAGCCCCAGAGCAGAGCGAGTCCGGGTTTCTCTGCCTTTCTCTTGGCAGCAGAAACTCCTCTCCCCCCTCCCCAACCAGGGCAAACAACAGAGACAAAAAAAAAAAAGAAAGAAAAGAAAAGAAGAAAAAAAGTTCAATGAACTCAGTAGCAGAATAAAAAGAGCTCATTTTTCAGGCTTATGCGAAGAAGCCGAGCCAATATCGAGGCCATAAATTAGGGCCGCTGGAGGCGGGCGGTGGGTGACGGCGCCGTGCGCGGGGCACAGCGCGGCCCTGACAGCCTCCGGCGGCAGAACGGATGGTTTTCCGATAGCACCCATGGAGACACGGCCCCTGGGCCCGCCGCAGCCCCCGCCCGCCCCGCGCGGCACCCGGGGACCCACGTGTGGGGCTGGCCGGGGGCCAGCGGATGCTGGGGAGGGCCCTGCGTGTGGGTCCCGTGGCCTGGGGTTCGGCCATGGTGGTCTTGGGTGCCCACGGGGCTGGGGGACCCCATGTCCCCCTGCCCCAGGGCTGCCCCATGGTGCTGCTGGCCCCTTCCCACACTGGGAGGGCTCTGGGGGAGGTTATAGGGTGAGCTCCTCTATAGAGGTTATGGGGAGTCCCTCTGCTCCCCCATAGTAGTTTCTGAGGGTGTTTATGGGGTGACAACCTTCATAAAGTTTGTGACGGTCCCTTTTCATGGGGCTCTGAGGGGCGTACGAGGGAGAGAGATAGCAAGGAGATGCTCCACAGGGAGCTCTCAGAGCCTCATGAAGGGAGACCTTCCATAAGGGAAGGTCTTTGTGCTCCCACCCCATGCTCCGACCTGCGCCTCCGGCCACGCAGCAGATTTGGGCAAGCAGAGAGCAGCCTTGCAGGACACGCCAAGGGGCAACCGTACGGCACCCACAGCACCAGAGGACTAGGAAAGGCTCTTAAATAGCCCAGATGAGGCCTTTACCCTCTGCCTTGGGCCGGGTTTGCAGTTCAGGGTGAGCCCTACTCATGCAGATGGCTCGGGGACCACAGCACATGGTGTAGACCAGGCTGCCGTCGTCACAACAAGGCCGGGCGAGGAGAGCGCGGGTCCCCAGAGAAGGATGGTGTCCAGTCTCCGTGCGCGTGGCCTCACCCCGCGTCCCTTTCTCTCTCCCGTGTGCGGCTGGAAGGGACGCCCGTGAACCGCATCCCCATCATGGCCAAGCAGGTGCTGGACCTGTACACGCTGTACCGGCTGGTGACGGACAAGGGGGGCCTGGTCGAAGTCATCAATAAGAAGATCTGGCGGGAGATCACCAAAGGCCTCAACCTACCTACCTCCATCACCAGCGCTGCCTTTACCCTCCGCACGCAGTGAGCGCCCGGGAGGGGGTTTGCCCCATCGCAGCACCCAAGGGTGGCCCCGAGGGTGGATGCAGAGCCTTAACCTCTGCCATTTACCTGTGGTACAGCTGGGGTGTCCCATAAGGGAGACAGGGCCGTGCATCATCCAGGGGTTGGACTAGGTGACCTGTAGAGGTCCCTTCCAACCTTAAGCATTCCATGATTCTATGATCCTATGATTGACGCTATGATTCCATGATTCGTTCCAAGGCGGGCGCGGGGGGCGAAGGGCAGCCGGGCGGCGCGGGCGCTCACGCCGGCTCTCCCGTGCAGATACATGAAGTACCTGTACCCCTACGAATGTGAGAAGCGGGCGCTGAGCTCGCCGGGGGAGCTGCAGGCCGCCATCGACAGCAACCGGCGGGAGGGCCGGCGGCAGAGCTTCGGCGCCGCGCTCTTCAGCTACTCCCCCGCGGGCACCCCGGCCCTGCTGGGCGCCCCCAAAGTGCCCCTGCCGGCCCTCAGCGTGGGCCAGGTGGGCCCGGCGCACGCCGTGAAGAG